GCCCCACCAGAATCAGAGCTACAAGCATGCCCATCCCCCACACGGTGTGCACCACACCCATTAGGTGTGAATTTACCCACCCCCCTCCCCCTCCCACCTGCCCGACACCCAGTGAATGTTGCTACTATATGTGCATTTAAGTGTTGACCCATTAGTACCAATTTGATGATGAGTACACATGGTGCATGTTTTTCCATTCTTGTGATACTTCACTTAGAAGAATGGGCTCCAGCTCCTAAAAATATGTACAATTTTATTTGCCAATTATACGTCACTAAAGCTGGAAAGAGGTTCCACCCTCATGCCCCCAAAATACAGTGATGAACTAGCCATGTGAAGTCATGTGTGGCCAGAGTATTTTGGTAAAACCCTAGGATGTCAGGGAACGATGTGCAGCTGTTGTTCTTTTGCTCTTTGGAAAAGGAAAAGCATCCTAGAGATGGAGCAGGCAATCATTGCGGGATACTTTGCATGCTAGGGACCACACTGAAAGAAAGTTTACCTCCTCCTGGGAGGGAGGAGCCCAGTGGGAAAAATGATGTACATGGAGCTCCAGAGCTGTCCCCTACGGGCCAGAACTCACTCACCTTTGCGTTCTGTTTTTCTCTTCTACCTCCAGAGAACTGAAATCTCTCAGGCAGTAGACAGCCAAAAGAATATTTCGTTAATGAGACTCATGGGAATTCAGACCACAAAGGCACAGAAATTGTAAGTGCTTCTGCTACACCCTCTCATTTGCTAATCTCAGGTGAGAAGAAAACTCAACAGTATGTCCCAGTGGCTCCTTCTTCCTGCCCTTCCGGGTGGCAGAACTTTCAACTTCATCCATCAACCAAGGAAAAAAACTTAATTAGTGAACTTAGATAATTCCCTGATAGTATCTGGGCCAGTCAAAGCATCTTCACGGGTTCTGGGGCACGTGCCAGGGCACAGGGCACCCTTTTATTGGTGTTAACTTTAGAGGCATCAACAAGGATAACACATAAAGGAAAATTTAGTGATAGAAAGCCCTACCATATTTCTATGCCTGGCTGTGGAGGAAGATTCTAGATATACTAAAATATCTTTTTTCTTTCCATCTGTCACCTCTGGTTTTGGTTCTCAATCATGGTTTCTCCGCCTGTCCAATGCACTCCCTCTTGTTTCATGGTTTCTCTTTTCTACTCTGTTGACATAAATACCTATCTATCCTCATTCTGCTGTCTTTTTTAGTCATTCAACACTTGTTTATTGAGTAATTCCTGCATGGTAGACACTAAACTATGTTCTGGGGTTGAAGAAAAGCATATGGTGAAGTGATTCAAAAAGTATCTGACTCTCCCTGTGGGAAGGTAAGTGGAGGATTCACAGATGAGCTCTTATTGTCCCGGGCTTTGAAGTAGGAGTGAAATTCTTCCAGTGGAGAAGTGGTAAGAGGCGACAGAATGACAAATGTAGAAATTAATTAAGCTTTCAGATGTGTTTAGGAAATTACAAATGGTTCTTGATATCTGACCAATAATGAAGACAGAAAGGATGGAAATGAAACACAAGATGGATCAGGTGAGCAGCAGCCGGATAAGCAAGACCTTATATGTTGGTTGTTGGATTGATACTTAATTCTGATATCAGCAGAAGCAGTGCAGGGTGGACAGCAGGTGGTGTCCTTGAGCAGACTCCCTCCCTTGAAAGATCACCTAGTTCAAGGTGAAGAACACGGTATTGTGGCTGTCAAAGCCATGGAGAGATGCTGAGACGTGGAAATAGCACAGTGAACATAAAGACAGGAGGAAGGGAACAAATCTGTGAGAGACTGAAATATGTAGCCAAAAATCCACTGATTAATGCAAGTTGCAGGAGGGCATTTTATATTCATTATTTTATTTACTTATTTCAATACTTATTTCTATAAAATACTTATTTCTGTAAAATCGGTGTCATCATTATTTTATGGATACAAAATGTGAGACTTAACAGCAGCGATGTTGCTTGTCCAATGCAAGTAACAGAGTCTGGATTCAAGATAAGAGCTCACTGTTTAGAAGGCACTTCTATTTCACTAACACGTTTAGTTGTTAAGAAAACTTATTTTTTTTTTTTTTTTTTTTTGAGACAGAGTCTCGCTTTGTTGTCCAGGCTAGAGTGAGTGCCGTGGCGTCAGCCTCGCTCACAGCAACCTCAAACTCCTGGGCTCGAGCGATCCTTCTGCCTCAGCCTCCCAAGTAGCTGGGACTACAGGCATGCGCCACCATGCCCGGCTAATTTTTTTTTTTATATACATATCAGTTGGCCAATTAATTTCTTTCTATTTATGGTAGAGACAGGGTCTCGCTCTTGCTCAGGCTGGTTTTGAACTCCTGACCTTGAGCAATCCGCCCGCCTCGGCCTCCCAGAGAGCTAGGATTACAGGCGTGAGCCACCGCGCCCGGCAGAAAACTTATTTTTTTATTTAAAAATATTAAGAGGGTACAAATGTTTTGGTTTACATGGATTGCTTTTGTGTTGGTTTTTTTTTTTTTTTTTTTTTTGAGACAGAGTCTCACTTTGTTGCCCAGGCTAGAGTGAGTGCCATGGCGTCAGCCTAGCTCACAGCAACCTCAAACTCCTGGGCTCAAGCAATCCTACTGCCTCAGCCTCCCAAGTAGCTGGGACTACAGGCATGCACCACCATGCCCGGCTAATTTTTTATATATATATCAGTTGGCCAATTAATTTCTTTCTATTTATAGTAGAGACGGGGGTCTCACTCTTGCTCAGGCTGGTTTCGAACTCCTGACCTGGAGCAATCCGCCCACCTTGGCCTCCCAGAGTGCTTACAGGCGTAAGCCACCACGTCCCGCCCATGGATTGCTTTTGTAATGCTCCAGTCCCAGCTAAAGGTGTGCCTGTCACCCAAATAGAGTTCATAGAACCTACCCATTAGGTAGGTTTTTCCCTTCCTTCCACCCCGTTTTCTCTACCTCTCTGGTTGATTTCCACTGAGTTTTACTCTCCCCTGTGTACATGCATGCTCCTTGGTTATTTCCAATCTAATAATGAGTACATGTGGTGTTTGTTTTTACATTCTTGAGATACTTCACTTAGGAGAATAGTATGATGTTGGCTGTGGGTTTGTCATATATGGTTTTTATAATTCTGAGAAATGTTCCTTCTATGCCTACTTTGTTGAGGATTTTTATCATGAAAGGGTGCTGGATTTTGTTGAATGCTTTTTCTGCATCTATTGAGAGGATTAAGATAGTAAAAAAAGACTTTTCAAATTATATATTTTAAATATGTACAATTTATTATATGTCAAGTATACCTCAATAAAGCTGTTTTGAAAAAACACAACCATAAAAGAGAATGTTAATAAATTGGACTTTATCAAGAAGAAGAACTTATTCATCAAAAGACACCATTGGGAGACTAAAAATGAGAAGATAGTTTCAATACAAATATCTTACAAAACACTCACATGCAGAATATACAAAGACCTCACATCATCAGAAAAGAAATATCACCAAAAGGAAATTGGGGGAGAGACTTGAGCTTCTCAAGGGAGGATATGCAAATTATCACTATGTGTATGAAGAGGTATGCAACATTATTAATCTTACCTATAAATCTAAAAGTATTACAAAATAATGTTTCTTTTTAATTTTTTTTTTTTTTTGAGACAGAGTCTCACTCTGTTGCCCAGGCTAGAGTGAGTGCCGTGGCGTCAGCCTCGCTCACAGCAACCTCAAACTCCTGGGCTCAAGCGATCCTCCTGCCTCAGCCTCCCGAGTTGCTGGGATTACAGGCATGCACCACCATGCCCGGCTGATTTTTTCTCTCTATATATACAGGCGTGAGTCTTTTTAATTTTGTTTAAATGAGAAATCACTACAAACCCATCAGGATAACTAAAATTAAAAACATGGGAAATAGTAATCATTACAGAGAATGTGGACAATTGGAATTCATACATTAATAATAAAAGTGGTTAGGACCACTTTGGAAAAGTGTTTAGCAGTGTCTGCTAAAATTACATCTACCCTGTAGCCCAGAAATATCATTCTTATACATCTCAAAGAATTGAGTGCATAAGTGAACCAAAAATACATAAGAATATTCATGCAGTCTGATTCATAGTAACAACAGCAAAAACTGTTAACAATCTAAATGACCACTAACAGCAAAATGAATAAATTATAGTGTTTTCATACAATGAAATACTGTCTAGCAATAAAAAAGAACAAGCTGTAGTTATATGCTAATATATGGATGCGTCTCACCAGTATAACACTGAGTGACAGAAACCAGATGCAGAAAAAAAACATACTATTAGCTTTCATTTACATAAAGTTCAAAAGTAGCCAAAGTTAATCTATGGGTTTAGAAATCAGAACAGTGGTAACTTTTGTGAAAAATAATACAATAGGAAGTAAGAGAAGGATGAGGTGGGGCTTCTTGGGTAATGTTCATGTTTGTTTCTTGACAGGAGTATTGATTACCTGGGTACCTTCACACTGTGGTAATATTACCTTGCATGCTTACGGTATGTACACATTTCTAAATGGAGGTTACACTTGTATCAAAGTGTATTTTTAAAACAGGTTAAGATACAAGAACTATTCTTAACCATCAAATACTTAGTATCATTTGTCAATTTAAAAATAAGATATGAAACTTTTAAGTCATTTGAGACTCTACTTCTTGATTCACAAGTGGGCTATCAACACCGGCCCTCTTATCCTGGGATTATAAAACAGAGACGACTGAATGATTTTAAGGAACTTAAGAAAATTAAAAGCACAATTGAATATAGGGTATTATAATGGTGGAATAATGGAAATAACTCATATTTGCATGACTACTTACTTTTTACAAAGGAGGATTTGAAAGACACTAATGTTTGTTAGGCATTTCCAGAAGACTATGTAATAACCTTAGATGCTTTACCTATTTTATCTCATTGAATCCTTCCAACAATAGGTGAGAATAATTATTTCCAGCTTACCAAGAGCTTAAGGGATGTGCCTTATTATCATAAAAATAGTAACTGCAAGTTCTCCAACTTTCCCACCCCAACACATTCTTGTCTAATTGGAATCTCTAAGAATATATTCTTTCACTGAGACTATATGTAAGAATACACGGCTCAAGACCCAGCCTATAGAAGGTAGTCAGTCTTACTGTTAACTCTACAAAACTGAACTGCATTTGCCAGGGACCAGCGGATTTACTCATTTAGAAAGACCCTTCAAATATAGTCACTATTACTCACCCTTTCATCATTAGGAATTAAGAAACACCAGCAAGAGGGCTGGCAGTCTGAATGGTTAATGATGCTAAGCAAAGAATAAAAAGCAGAACAGAAAGATCTGATAAGCTTAAATTGGGCGAAGGAAGGGGAAGAAAGCATCGAGGCTGTTCTTCGAGTCAGTGCTTCTGGGGCACATGAGATTTACTTAAACAAGAAATGTTAACGGTTCACAGCTCAAGGTCGAACCCCCCCCTTGGTGGGGCTTCATGTCTCCGCACCATGAGGAGCAGATACATTGCATTTCTTCCAGGTACGTACAATTGTGAGGATCTTCGATTAAAACCATTTGGGAGTCCTTTCATCCCTTTTGAGAAACTCCTCTGGCCTCTGTTTGATTCCTAGCTTGCTCTTGCCAGATTACTCAAAAGGATGATAACAAAAAATGACATTGTTCAGCGCTATTAACTTCTCAAAGGAGGAAGTGGTTTGAACTCACAACCAGGAAGAAAATGAGAGGCTTATTTGGGGCATTTCTCAATTTATTACCTATATGTATTTTTGTTTTAAGAATATATCCTGCAAAATAAAAATATTGCATGTAAAAAAAAAAGAATATATCCTGCAGGCCGGGCGTGGTGGCTCATGCCTGTAATCCTAGCACTCTGGGAGGCCGAGGCGGCGCGATTGCTTAAGGTCAGGAGTCGAACCCAGCCTGAGCGAGAGCGAGACCCCCTCGTCCTCTACTATAAATAGAAAGAAATTAATTGGCCAACTAATATATAGAGAAAAAATCTAGCCAGGCATGGTGGGCGCATGCCTGTAGTCCCAGCTCACTCGAGGAGGCTGAGGCAGGAGGACGCTTGAAGCCCAGGATTGAGGTTGCTGTGAGCTAGGCTGACGCCCACGGCACTCACTCTAGCCTGGGCAACAAAGTGAGACTCTGTCTCAAAAAAAAAAAAAAAGAAATATATCCTGTGAAATAATATGATGCCCTGAATTTTTTTCCAAATTATCCTGTGGGGGAAAGAGGAGGAGTAGAGGGGTAGAGGAAAGAAGAGTGACCACAAGTTTGTCATTGTTACAGCATGGTGACTGGTATCCAGGGATTCAGTTGACTGCTATTCTACTTGTTGGCATGTTCTAAAATGTCTATCAAACAGTAAAAACCATTATACAGGCCGGGCGCTGTGGCTCACGCCTGTAATCCTAGCTCTTGGGAGGCCGAGACGGGCGGATTGCTCAAGGTCAGGAGTTCAAAACCAGCCTGAGCAAGAGCGAGACCCCGTCTCAAATTTAAAAACAAACAAACAAACAAACAAAAAACCATTATACAAAAAGTGGAGCCTGGGTTGCACAAAACCATAGCGTCCGTGAGCGGCAAAGCTAGGGGTTCAGAGATGTGTTCAACTCTCAGCTCAGCCTGGAAGTGAAAAATGGCTTTAAGCCATTGTGAAAAGAGAAAAATCCTGAACTGTAAAGAACGAATATGAATCTATGCATAAAAACAGCCAGATCTGAGAAATCTCTTTGTAAGCTGTGTTTCCTAAAATTGATGGGAATCGACGTTCTCGTATGTGTGCCTGTTAATCTCTGTAAGTGTAGACTTTCGATCCCCATACTGAAAGCCTACTGTTATCTGTTCACGAGGATTTTGGAAGATGAAAGGGAAAATCTTGTGCCTCCAAGGTCCTGCGCAGCCTGAGCAGAGGGAAACACCGAAATGATGCTAAAAGCTTCAGGGGCTGCACGGGATAAGCCACTTACCGGGTGGTAGGAGCTATTTGTGCAGGTGCCTTGAATCTCATTCCTCAGCCACGTTTACCTTCCTCCTCTCTGTTCCAGGGCTCTGTGTCCTGCTAATGTCGTTGGGAGCGGTTGCCCAGAAGGCTGGAAGTGAGTATGTTCCAACAAGTCCCACCTATTCCCCCTGACGCTGGGGGAAGGAATGTCAAACTTAGCAAGGGTTTTATTTTGAGGAGTGAATCTCAGACAATGGTCTTCTTAGGCTTTGAGACATGGGTCTTGCTTCTTCCCCCAAACAATCAGTCTGTTACCAGCGACCGTCCCTTGTGGGAAGGCAGGCAACTTCTTCGCTGTCCTCCGCTCTAGCACCTTGCTGCCGACGGGCAGCTGGCATCTTCCAAGTGTCCTCAAACTCCGGTGCTCAATCTCCATAGCGCCCTGTGCCCGGTGCCCACGGAACGCCCACTGTGTCAACGCCACTGCCTGCCTCTGTGACCCCGGATTCGCCGAGTTGTCTGGAAAGACCATCTTTAACAACTCCTTAGGGGTCTGTACAGGTAAAGAGGCTGACGGATAGGGGAGGTGGCCATTAGAAACTGTGGGAAATCCAGAATCCTCAGCCCTTGGGGCAGCACCAAAGTTCTTAGCTAAGGGAGTAAAGAGTAACTGCACCTAGTATTCTGGGAGGCCGAGGCGGGAGGATCACTTGAGCTCAGGAGTTTGAGACCAGCCTGAGCAAGAGCGAGACCCCCGTCTCTACTGTAAATAGAAAGAAATTAGCCAAATAACTAAAACTAGAAAAAATTAGCCAGGTGTGGTGGGGCGTGCCTGTAGTCCCAGCTACTCGGGAGGCTGAGGCAGGAGGATCGCTTGAGCCCAGGAGTTTGAGGTTGCTGTGAGCTAGGCTGACGCCACGGCACTCTAGCCCGGGCAAGAGAGTGAGACTCTGCCCGCCCCCCCCAAAAAAACCCAGTAATTGCAATAAGGGAGTAGTTGCAATAAGGAACCAGGAAAGAGGAGTAATCAGGTCTCGTGGTCAAGGTGTACAGTGTTAAGAGCTTGGCATTTGGCACCAGAATATGTGAATTCCGGCTGTATTACTGACCAGCTGTGTGAACCCAAGCAAATTGTTTCACCTTCCAGCGTCTCGATTTCCTTATTTGTAAATTGGCCAGTATTCACTCGCCTGGTTATTATTATACATATGAAGGGAATCTATTAACTGGTGGTTGTCAGATGCCAGGAGAGGGAGGAATAGAGACTGACTACTTAATAAGTAAGGGGTTTTCTTTTGGGGTAATGGAAATGTTTTGGAACTAGACAGAGGTGTTGATTACGCAACAGTGTGAATATACTAACTACCACCGAAGTATTGGCTTTCAAACAATAGATTTTTTTTTTTTTTTGAGACAGAGTCTCGCTTTGTTGCCCAGGCTAGAGTGAGTGCTGTGGCGTCAGCCTAGCTCACAGCAACCTCAGACTCCTGGGCTCCAGCGATCCTCCTGCCCCAGCCTCCCGAGTAGCTGGGACTACAGGCATGCGCCACCATGCCCGGCTCATTTTTTCTATATATATTAGTTGGCCAATTAATTTCTTTCTATTTATAGTAGAGATGGGATCTCGCTCTTGCTCAGGTTGGTTTTGAACTCCTGACCTCGAGCGATCCGCCCGCCTCGGCCTCCCAGAGTGCTAGGATTACAGGCGTGAGCACCGCGCCCGGCCCCAAACGATAGATTTTTTTATGTGGATTTTACCTCATCCATGTATCAAAACCTTACACTGTACCCCACAAACTTGTACAATTAGTATGTGTCAATCATAAATTTTTGTAAGAATTTTAAAGACTCTCAATTCAGTTAAAATAATAGTAAACCTATTATGTGTTAACGTATTTTTATGAAAAATAACCATTTTCCAAAAAGAAAAAAATGAATGAGAAAAATACATATACATGATACATGAATACGTGTAGAACACTAAGAATAAACAGTGCCTTGCACTTAAAAAGAAGTCAATGCCTTATTGCTGTTGCTGTTATTAATTGATCAAAGACAGAGGCCGTATGACAAAGCAGGACGAGAGGACTGAGACGATACAGTGATCAGAGATTCTGAACATTCTACCAAACTTACCGCTAGATTTCAGGGAATTTCCTTTAAGCCAGGATCTCAGTTCTTCTATCCGAAACTAACCACATGTAACCTCATGCCAGGATGGCCATTTGCCACGTGGAAAACATCATTTCTGAAATTAATTTAAACCGTGCAATAACCAAATGAGTAGATGCTAGTATTATCTCCGATGCGTGGACAAGGAAAGCTGAGACTTGAGAGAGTGGAACAGCTTGCTCAGGTTCCCACGGCGGGTCAGATGGCTGGAATTCAGACGGGGCTCGCTGTAGCTCACGGAGCTCTCAAGCAAACACCTTCCCAGAGGGGCCACGCACGTGCCACATCATAAACGAGGACGTGGGCCCTAAGCGATGAAGTGACATGTCCGAGGTCACATCGTGGGAAGTGGGAGAACCTGTATCCACTTGTCAAACTGCAGAATTCTGATTCTTGTACTTTTTTTTTTTTTTTGAGACAGAGTCTCACTTTGTTGTCCAGGCTAGAGTGAGTGCCGTGGCGTCAGCCTCGCTCACAGCAACCTCAAACTCCTGGGCTCCAGCGATCCTCCTGCCTCAGCCTCCCGAGTAGCTGGGACTACAGGCATGCGCCACCATGCCCGGCTCATTTTTTATATATATATCAGTTGGCCAATTAATTTCTTTCTATTTATAGTAGAGACGGGGTCTTGCTCTTGCTCAGGCTGGTTTTGAACTCCTGACCTTGAGCAATCCGCCCACCTCGGCCTCCCAGAGTGCTGGGATTACAGGCGTGAGCCACCGTGCCCGGCCTTGATTCTTGTACTTTTACATGAGTTGCATGAACTATGAAAGATCCCTACTGTAGAATATTCTGCAGGCATTGCAGTCGTTATTTGGACACGGAAAAGGATTTACAAAATATTTTAAAGACCTGCAAGAATTTGCATGTACCAAAATGTTAAGAGCTGTGGTCTGACTCCACGCATGGGAGGCAGAGAGTAGATGAAAAAGGAACAGAGGAATCTTTGTCATCGGCAAAGCTGGTGATAGAGGCATGTGGCGTTATTGTTCTTTGCTCTTTGGAAAAGATTGTTGTCGTCTCTGTGGCTGGATGTTTGATGTATTCTTTGCATTTTCTGCTTTCCCAGTTTTTTGATGTAAACACCTGTTATTTTGTTTAGAAAACAAATGCAAGGGAGGGAGCAATCCTTTAAATCTGGTTGCTACTAACCCTAATGATAATTTTGGCGGTTCCTAGCATTTCCCACTTGTGTTCCAGATATCGACGAGTGTGGCCCGCCTTTCTACCTGTCTTGTGGAAGCCTGGCGGAGTGTCACAATGTGGAGGGGAGCCACTACTGTGAGTGCACCTCTGGGTATGAGCTCTTTTCCGGGGGCACGGGATTCAGAAGTGAGAAGGAGAACACTTGTCAAGGTAAGGCATCTGCCACCGTGCTATGTGTTCCCTCCGTCCCCTCCCTACAGTGCTCCCAACCTGTCCTGTCAACTTTGAAGACTGTCCTGGAGCCACCAGGTCTGAGAACCCAGGAGTGAGCGTCCTTCAGTCTGTTAGGGGGACAATTGTTCCCATTTCCTGCTCTTGTTCAGACTTAAAACACCATGTAGGGTGACTTGAGAAGGTTCTTTATTGCAACATTGTATGCAATAGGCAATTAATGGAGAATAGTTAAACATTATGACACAGCTATGCAATGAGAAGCTTCAGAACCTTTTTATTGCCTTTTCCCCCGGCTCGGGGTGGCCAGGTCTATGAATTTTAACACATGTGCAGATTTGGGTTGCCAAACTACAATCAAGATGGAGAACAATTGGTTCCATTATTTTAAAACACTCCCTCGTTTTTGTATTCTTGGGATACTTCACTTAGTAGAATGGGTTCCAGCTCTATCCAGGAAAATACAAGAGGTGCTAGATCACCATTGTTTCTTATAGCTGAATAGCACCAGCAAATTGGTATTAACTGATCAACACCTAAGTGGACATATAGAAATAACATTTATCGGTGTTGGGCAGGTGGGAGGGGGGATAGGGGGTGGGTATATACATATATAACGAGTGAGATGTGCACCGTCTGGGGGATGGTCATGCTTGAAGCTCTGACCCAAGGGGGGAGGGAGGGCAAGGGTAATATACGTAACCTTAACATTTGTACCCCCATAATATGCTGAAATACAAAACAAAACAAAAAAACCCCACTCCCTCATCTTGTCCCTTTATAGCTACCTCACTCCTTTCCTCCTTGTAACCACTAATCTGTTTTCTTTCTTATAGTATTGTCTTTTGAGATTTCCTATCAATGGAATGATACAATATGTTGGTTTTTGAGCCAGGTTTCTTCCACTCAGTGTATTGGCTCTGAGGTTCATCTATGTTGGTTTGTGTATCAATACTTGGTTTCTTTTTATTGCTGAGTATTATTATTATTATTTTTTTTTGTAAGGATGTACTGCAGTTTGTTTATCCCTTCACCCACTGAAGGACATTTGAGTTATTTCCAGTTTGGGGGTGATTACAGAGCTACATGAGAAAGCCCTTGATAAACTAAATCGGAATGTTTCCCAAGTTCTGTTTTAAATAGAAAAGCATTTGGTGAAAAGATAGCATGCTATCATATGCCGATGGCTTTTCCTCTCCATTATCTTCCTTTTTTATTACAAGCAATTTTTTTTCATAAATATATTTTGATCTTAAAACTCTTTAAATCCCTTTTGACAGTATGCAGAGAGTAATTTCATGACAGGAATGGTGTGATTGTCCACCATTGCTCCAATTTCTATGCCAGGGACTGTGATTCCAACTATACATAAAGCACAGCCCCCATTTCCTGGGCTCTTTCTCCAGTGGGAAGACAGATCTGTAGACAAAGTCAATACACATCAATGAATTGGGAAAAGGATCAGTTGCTGTTCACACACAGTGTCTTTCTCGCCACTGTGCCCAAGTGCCTGGTACACGTGTCAGTCGAAGAAAAAAATTCAGGCTTTTCAAAATTAAAGTTAGTTTTATTCAGAGTCTGACGGAGGACTTCAACCCAAGACCGACTTTTAGAGAATTTCTTTCAGTCTGCTCCGAAGCAACGTTTCAGCCCACAGCTTCTATGCCAGGCGGTGGGCCTTCCTCCGTGTGTTCCAGATGTTGCATTTGAGCGAAATCTCATCAAAGTTCGGATGCGAGAGTATATCTGGGTATAGATGACCGAGGCATCAGCATTAATCCTGTCAGTTGTTATCGTCTGTCCAGGAAGAGGCCAGGGCTAGGATCATTGAACTTATCTTTTTTTTTTTTTTTTTTAAATGCAATGAATGATTCAAGCAAGAGGTGTGGGAACCTGCACTCTACCTGTTTCTTGTCTCTGGGGCATTCCTCCAGGGAACTGCACCCAGTCACAGACACAGGGGCTTTGTGAAAGTCTGCTGGCAAGAGATTTTGTGAAATTCTTCTAGCAAAGCAGAATGAGCAAACGTGGTTTCCTAAATTTGCAATTTCGTCTTGCATGGGGAAGGCACTTCAGGGATATGCATTGAAAAGATACCCGGAGAGAGCTTTGTCATTATAGGTATCAGAGCTGTGGTCACAGTTTGGTCCTGAAAGGTGGTCTTGATTATGGCCAAGTGTTTTTTTTTTTTTTTTTTTTTTGAGACAGAGTCTCGCTTTGTTGCCCAGGCTAGAGTGAGTGCCGTGGCGTCAGCCTAGCTCACAGCAACCTCAAACTCCTGGGCTCAAGCGATCCTCCTGCCTCAGCCTCCCGAGTAGCTGGGACTACAGGCATGCGCCACCATGCCTGGCTAGTTTTTTCTATATATATTAGTGGCAAATTAATTTCTTTCTATTTATAGTAGAGACGGGGTCTCGCTCTTGCTCAGGTTGGTTTCGAACTCCTGACCTTGAGCAATAAAGCCACCGCCTGCGCCTGGCCTATGGCCAAGTGTTTTTAAATCTCCTGGTCTTAGCTTCCTCCTCTGGAAGGCAAGAACAATAATACCTACTCTTGAAGAGATTAACCAAGTTTTTTAAAGACATTGTATATCAAGCCATTTATCTTAAAGTGGAATACAATACACTTTTAAGAAAAGCTTAATAGACTTTTCAATACATTAATAGTGTTCACAGTAGCCATTCTTTATTGTTTAAATAGTTGTTTTAACAATGTTTTAAAGCATTTGAAATGACTAAGAGACAAGAAGTATATAATATCCACCATAGAAAATTAAAAATCTTAAATCTTTCAACATTAAGTAAGGCAACAGCAATGTATTTGCTTTGAAATGGTTTCCTTTTTAAACATCAATTTTGCTGGAAGTATCATGCTGTTTACAGACTATTCTCCACCCCAAAGGGGAAAATCTGTTACGTTAAGAGGGGCTTGTCCTACCCCACTCTCTAGGTTGAGATAGAATAGGCTGTAGCAAATACGATCTGAGCTCTGCTCCACTCAGAGTTAGCCAAAGAAGGCCAAATTCATTGCTGTCTTTTCTCTCTTAATTAGAAAAGAGAGAAAGATAAATTAGAGCTAAAGAGATTTGAAGATGCCCCACACTCACGCAACACTATGACACAATCGTGTGGCTTCCTCTTTTCTCATCCGTAAACTGCTTGAAGAAAAAGGAACTTCCCTTGGGTGGGGAGATAGCAGGAATGCTGAGATATGCAGAGCCCAGAAAAAGTTGTCTCTCTGGGTGCAGCATTTAAAAAAGACCCCACCCCCACCCCATGCTCGGTGAGCAATACTGAGAGAGGGCTGTGTGAGCCCAGCACCTCGGAGGGGGGAGCAGTGGCTGGAACCACAGGATGTTGGGGAGAAGCTTTGGCCAGTGGGTGGGTGGTGGGGTGGGAGGTGAGCAACTCCCAGTTTCATATCAAACTCCTGCGGTGACATTAAGGGCTGACACCAAGGCTTAGCTGCAAGCTGTTCCCAGATTCCTGAATGGGCCACTGTATCCGTTTCCTATTGCTGATATTAGAAATTACCACTAACATAGTGGTTTAAAATAATACAAATAGGCCGGGCGCGGTGGCTCAAGCCTGTAATCCTAGCACTCTGGGAGGCCGAGGCGGGCGGATGGGCGGATTGCTCGGGGTCAGGAGTTCGAAACCAGCCTGAGCAAGAGCAAGACCCCATCTCTACTATAAATAGAAAGAAATTAATTGGCCAACTAATATATATATATATATAAAAAACTAGCCGGGCATGGTGGCGCATGCCTGTAGTCCCAGCTACTCGGGAGGCTGAGGCAGGAGGATCGCTTGAGCCCAGGAGTTTGAGGTTGCTGTGAGCTAGGCTGACGCCACGGCACTCACTCTAGCCTGGGCAACAAGCGAGACTCTGTCTCAAAAACAAAACAAAAGAAAACAAAACAAAAATAATAATACAAATAAATCACATTTTGGAGATCAGGGTTTTAAATGGTTCCTCCTAAAGGCTGTAGCTGAGAATCTGTTTTTCCTTGGCTTCTCTGGGTCCTGGAAGCTGACCGCATTCCTTGGTTCAAGATCCCTTTCTCCATCTTCAAAGCTAATAACCTCTCCTGTCTCCTGTCTCGAGATCCCTCACTTAGTCACATCTGCAAAATTCCATCTGAGTAAAAGTTCCAGGTTCCAGGGATTATGACCTAGACATCTGTGGGGGCCATTAATCTAGTCAGCACACCTACCATGCGCCATGCAGCTGACTCAGAAAGTGCACACATACACAATCACACACACACACACTCTCAGCAATGCGACTTGCCCGCCTTGCTTGAATGTAGTGGTTAGCAAACTCATTCTATGAAGGGCCAGACAGTAAATATGTTAGGCTTCATAGCCCAGATGGTCCCTGTCTCAGCTACTCAACTCTGCCCTTGTCACTGTGAAAGTAGCCACGCACAACCCATAAATAAGTAGCTATGAGCACAATTCACAATTGCAAAGATGTGGAAACAACCCAAGTGCCCATCAATACATGAGTGGATTAATAAAATGTGGTATATGTATACCATGGAGTACTATTCATCTATAAGAAACAATGGTGATAGAGCACCTCTTGTATTTTCCTGGCTAGAGCTGGAACCCATTCTGTTAAGTGAAGTATCCCAAGAATGGAAAAATAAGCACCACATGTACTTACCAGAAAATTGGTATTAACTGATCAACACCTAAGCGGATATATAGGAATAACAGCTATTGGGTGTTGGGCAGGTGGGGGGGAGGGGATGGGTGTATACATACATGATGAGTGAGATGTGCACCAACTGGGGATGGACATGCTTGAAGCTCTGACTTGAGGGGGGAAGGGGGACCAAGGGCAATATATGTAACCTTAATATTTGTACCCCTATAATATGCTGTAAAAAAAAGATAAAAAAATTAGTAGCTATGATTAGATTCTAATGCAATTTTATTTATGCCTCCTGAAATGAGAACTTCATACAAATC